TGTGTCATTATATTTTTGATAGATTTGTTCTGAGAGATGCGTTTATTTTTGTCTGCCAAAATTTTGATTGAATAATTTCAGTTGCGAGAGCAAGTGTCTTGGTATCGGGAGCTAGACTTTTTTTGTCGTAAACAACTTACACATTTCTAAGAATTTTTAAAGTTGTTTTATTAGTGAACCTTAGCAATTTCGATAGCTTTTCACACTTAGCCTAGAGGTAACATAGATGCGTTTTTACCATAAGGCGTGGGGTTCGAGTTCCGATCAGACGTTGTTTTTTTTTCAGTCTGTACGAATTTGATTATTTTTCGGCTTTGTTTGTCTGCTCGTTTTCTCGGCTTAGATGCCATATCAGGGAATTTTTGTGCTTTCACCATTTTTCATTGTATATACCAGTGCTTTTGGGTTAATCCTGTCATTTGTAAATTAATTGCTGGTTTATTGGTCGCTCGATAAATACTTAAAACATATTAAATATTCGGGGTAGTATTTTTAAACTGTTTTGCTCCAATTATTTTCATTTTTTCACTCATGTTTTTTCGATTTTGTTGTTTCCGTCTCATTTCCTATTCGCTTTCTTGCAATGCTTCGTTGCAATGTATTGCAAGTGATGCGAAGCTCCGCTTCGCCTCTGTGTATTGTTTGCGTTTTCAGAATGCCATGAATGTTGCAAGGCACAAAAAGTTAGTGCCAGAGATCGAGGGGTTCGAGATCCCAAGTTGGTCTGGCAAACCATCTTCCGGTCTTCACCTGGATGTGTTGAAAGAAAAAGAAGGTGAAGTGAAAATGATCTCGAAGATGATGGTAGATGAGAAGAACGCCTATTTCTTCGGCAGAAACCCACTCTACTGTGATTTCCCAATTGATCACGCTTCCTGCTCACGAGTTCACGCAGTCTTATTATTTCACAAGAACTTAAATAAATCGTTCCTGGTTGATCTTAACAGTGCGCACGGTACATTTATCGGAAAAGTGCGCCTGGAATCTTTCAAACCAACACAAATTCACCCGGGTAAATATTGTTCATCGTATGTCTATCGATCAAGCTGTATGATTTTCGATGAAGCTTTCTTGGTTAAAAAAGTGGACTGATTTAGTAAAGTAAAATAATCAAAATCTTAGATCTAAGTATTTTTTATGTTTCGAAGATTGGTGCCGTTTTTCATTTTGAGCTTATTCATTTCTGTTGTTTTAACTTTCAAATAAAATTGCAAATTTGTCGTCATATAAAGTCTTTCTTTGGTAAATACTATGAGAAGTAATTGATTGATGCATTCTTTGACCATGAAAATTAATTTATAAATAACTTTTCTAGACTCTGTCATATCGTTTGGAGCCTCAACACGACAATACATTTTGAGAGAGAGACTCCAGACGGCAGTGTCCTCAGAAGACCACAGATCAGATGACGTCACGAAACTAACAGGACTGGCCAAGTTCGGACTGCCGCACGACGAGGCTGCCCTGGACAACCTCACAGAGTACAACACAGCACACAACAAGAGGGTGGCAACCACAGTTACGATAGATGAAAACAGCAGCAGTGAAGGCCCCCCGTCTAAACGGGCAAGATTCATCGGGGTCAGATTCAGGTAATTCAGTTTGACACTCAAACTTAATTGGGATAATTTAAAACACGAATAGATAACAATATTAGGTGTGGTTTTTGATCATTTTAGAAATTACAGTTAATTCTGAATCGCTGTAATTTTAGTTTAAATATCTTTTTGCCATAAGTATTACAATATTTTAAAAGCGATCAGTTTGTTAGACGATTTTCGCAGAGATTTGATAACAAATTTGTTTTTGTTTTAGGGAAGAGGAAGATGTGATTAACCCCGAAGACGTTGACCCCACAGTGGGCAAATTCAGAGATTTAATTCAAACAGCAGTCATTCCAAAAGCCAATAGAAAATCACCGCAGTCATCTCTAATTTCACCTACAGCTCTAGACTCCAAAGACTCAAACCAAATACAACATCATATCTTAAGACCAATAAAAGACGACTCGTTTAATTTATACGCCGGGCTTCTCGACAACCCGATTGGATCAATCCGAATCAACTCAGCACCAGATGTGGATCTGACTGTGAAGCCAGACGAAGACGAAACAAATGCAAATCCGGCGGCAGCAGCTGGGCCGAATCAAGAGGCACTGAATGACTTGATGGGCGGAGACTTAATGCCAAAGAAGAAGTATTTCCCAAAAGAAGCCTGGCCTGGCCGCAAACCAACTGGAGGAATGGCGATTTAGGTCTTGTTTTCTTTTTCGAATCTTCAGCTAACTAGAATTGAGAGTGCGCTACAGGAGAAAATCAGAGTGAAGTGAAGTCAAAAAACGAAAACTCAAAAACTTTATTCAAATTTTGTACAATTTTATTTACTGCGTTCTTCTTAATTGTTGATATTTGTTGTGTTGAACTTTCCAAGTAATGGTAGAACCTGTTTGTCAGTTCAAATTTATCTCTTCAAAACAATTATTTCTTATTGAATTTCAATACAGTTGTTTTCTTGTTAGCAAACTGTTCTTTAAGGTTATAATGGATGATCAGGTTGACAGGACAATATACGTTGGAAACTTAGTTGAAAACGTCACGGAAGAAATTCTGTTTGAATTGTTCCTTCAAGCTGGTCCATTGGTGAACGTCGTCATCAAAAGACCTCGCAACTCGAACAATAAATTTGCATTCGTCATTTTCAAACATTCCCAGTCCGTGCCATATGCAATTGAACTATTCCGAGATACAAAGTTGTATGGGCGGGTCTTATCTATTCGGGCCCGAATGGAGTCAAAACATGCGTCTACAGAAAACGACACAACTGATGTGACTCCGATTGATCTTCAACACAAGGTTGATCATACTTCTATTTTATTTTGATGATAAAAAATCAATTAAATTTTGAATTCAGAATTGATTTGTTTGTATAACAGTCAATTACCGTTTCTATTTAATTTGAAGTACAAACTGTACAAGTTGTTAGGCTGCCAAAACTATTGCATACTTGTTTCTGGTCCAACCGAGAATAATTTGAAAACCGAAAACCGAGAAATATTTGGTTTGGTGATCAATGGAATGTTACTTATTTCAGCTAATGCGCTATCACTGAATCTTCGTTAAGGTTGCTGGAAAAACTAGGAAGTCGTTGTTTTTTTTGTGCAGGTTTTGGAGTTCATCACTCAGAATGCAGAAATGAATGCAGACCTACAATTCCCAGATCCAGAACCAGTTAGACGCTCCAGATCAGGATACAACCACCACAACCACGTCGACGAAGACTCTTATGACCCAATGAGTAACTTCTCTCTCCATTCAACGCCGAGTTACAATCACCAGCATTCGAACGCTGCCGCCACGAACAATGACGAGTATGATCCATACGAACCTCTCATTCGAGCGTCGTCTTTGACCAGAACAATAACTCAAGCTACCCGACACAGCAGTTTGACGTCTCTTAATTCTCTTGGCTCGGGTTACTCAGTGTCCTCGAATATGTCAAGAAGATTAGGAGGACGTATGCCGGATAACGTATCCGATTATTCCTCGGCTGCTCAGAGCAGAGGCCAAGAGACTTATAATAGTTTCGGTAAACGGCGTCACGTAGACGACGAAATGATGCCTTATAATAGTAGAGCACATGATAACAGAGGGGGATTCAAACAGAGGAAGGAAATGACTAGAAATTTTACTCTGCAGAATCCGTATGACAATAGAGAATCGGTTTACGAAGAGAGAAACCTTGATATGAGGCCACCAGAACCTCGCTATCAAAGGTCCTCCAGTAGTCAAGACAGGTCAGGACGTCAAAATGCATATGGTCGTCGGCAATATTGATGCAATTTTCCTTTGGTCGAACCAATCAGTTTTTAAAGCGTTTTGAATGACTTCTCTAGTTTGTTTTGGTCTAGAAAAATAGATTTTTGAGACATGATGTTTTCGTCTATTAAAATGTGGCTTTTAGCATAGTGGTTAGGCGTTCACTTCGAGATCGTCAGATTGTGCATTCGATCCCCTCCCATGACAATGATAGTTTGTGAGGACGAGCTCTCACGTCACCTCTAGCTTCAGGTCTGTCTACCACAGCCTGACCGATTACGGCTGCAATAGTGGTGCCACGTGAAAGTTCCAGACGCAAAAAAGCGGTCTTGAGTCGAAAAAAAGAGCTTCGCTAAACAAAATATTCAGTCTGGAATGTGGGGAAATAAGAGAAACAAACTATGCTTAGACAGGCTATATAGCCTTTCATAGATCCTCTGCGAATCGCAGAAACCACAAAAGAGAAAAGTGGGTGAATCTCAAAATCAATTTCATAATTGGACAAGGATAGCTAGTTTTCTGGAATTTGACAATTTTTTCTCGTCGAATATAAGTAAAAATCAAAAAATGAAAAAAACTATTAAAAATTTTTTTTCGAAAAGTTTCTCCAATTGATTGCTAAATTGTTTTTCGTTTTTTACTTTTTTTCCAGGAAGACGCGAAACGAATTTTTTATAAATAATTTCAATTGAGTAAAACTAAGATATAGTTTGTTTTTATGTAAGTTAGGTTTTAAACTAACAATTATTAGCTTATTACAAATAAGACGAAAATTTTTTATTTTTTGCTTTGCAGAAAACCTTCATTGCCGACAAAGCGCTAAATTATATATCTAAAACCAAATTGAGTTTTTCAGGCTAAAAGTCAAAATAAAAGTAAATTATTATATTAGGATTGCTTTGCTCGCTCGAAATTGAACTAAAAATATAAAATTTTAAACCTGTTTTTCTCGACACATACGACTTTTTGAAAAAAATTATAATGTGTTCGAATTTGGACTGAAATGGTTTTAATTTTAGGTACCGTTCGACGCATGCCGATGATTATTTGTGGTACCTGGTTTTGCTGGAAAAAAAAGAAAAAGCACACTCAAATATGCAAAGTTTTTCCCCATTTTCAATGGTCGGAACTAAAAGATTGAGGTGAAAGCTCGTCTCAGAAAGAATTTTTATATCGTCTATCCATGTATTAGAGTTGAAAATATAATAATTTCAGATTAATGAATGGCGTTCACAATCTATGCTTTAATGAAAGCAGGTCTTCTGCTTCTTAACGCTGCTGCCATTCTTCACAAAGAACGTTTTTTGGACAAACTAGGATGGACTGAACAAGCAGTAATGGCTGCTCAAACTATGATGACTGATCCATACAACCCTATGTATGGCCAAGCCCCACAGGCCCAGTCAGACACAATGAAAACACAGTTTCTTAAATTTGTAATTGCAGTTCAAACAATCATGAGAGTGCCTTTAATTTTCATCAACTTGTTCGCAATTTCATTGGAATTGTTACTGGGTTGAAAATAAGACATTGTTTTTGAGAGTTCTCCAAATGAGTGGCATGTTATGTCTGGGAGGCAACTGGTTGTTTTGGAAATTATCATTCAAATAACACATAGCTGTTTATAATTTTAATTGTAACATTAAAGGTGATGCATGATTATGGTTTATTTTTGAATATAGTCAAAGTTTGAATTAAATTCTTCTCTTAAAATTATGAAATTAAGATGATGCGAAGTGTTTATTAAGTTTTAGTGATGTTATATCACTGTTTTTTTGCACTGCTTAAGTTAGTATGTTCTGTTTCGAGACCGGTTTGGGAGTATAAAAGAATAATAAAGGATGTGTTGCTGCTTGCGATTAGCAAGCGTTAGCAAATCGGAATTAAGACTTTTTTCGGGTTAACAACTAGTTTAACAAACTCAATTGAATCAATTGCTGCTGGCATGCTCAGTTTCATGAAATTTAAATAAGACTACCTTATCTAAGTAGAAAATAGTTGGAGTAAGTTTTGGGCATTAATTATTTTTTCCTTATTTAATCAGCCTGTTTTGTAAAGCATAGATGTTATTTTGGTTTAAAAAAGTTTTTACAACGATTGAAAGTTCTGTAATTTGTCATTTTACAAACTCTGATTTCGAATATTTTTTTTTATATATTTTTTTTCGGTTAAATGGGTTGGGTTTAGGGTGTATCGTCTTAGTCAATTTATTTTGCGTAGTTTTGAAGGCCGAAAAATCCCTGTTCGACAAAATCAGGTATTATGAAAATGCAAGGGATTAGGTTTTTTTTTGAGATTTTTTTAGTTCGGTAGAAAACTACTCTTTCGGTTTTCAAAACAGGTATCAATAAAAAAAACTCTTGCTCTTTGTAAGCCTGCATAATTTTCGAATGTCTTTTTACTTTACCCTTCTCTCTACAGCCTTCGAAAAAGTCTCGGGGTATATTTGACCGAAATTTCTGATTTTTTTTCTCGTTTTCTCAAAAACTACTCCCCCAAATATGAGTTTTTCGTTTGATTGGATACCCGGGTTTGCGAAAATTTTTCTGCATTTGCGGCTACGCCCAATTTATTTTTACACAACAATTTATGGCCCTTGGAGAAATCAAATTTTTGCTTTGACCGATTTCTGAATTTTTTTTTGTATTTTTTCGGAAATTACCGTCGCAAGTCTGAAATTTTGGGTGCAGTTGAATCAATGGGTTGTGGAAAACTGCCCTGAATAATTGACTACACCTATGTTTTTGAACACAAAAGTTAAAGCCCTCGAGAAAGTTAATACTTGGTCTTTTAAACGTTTTTTGAAATTATCCTAAAGACTTTTCTCAAAAAGTACCCGCCCATATCTTAAGTTCTTGCGTTCAATCGAAACAACAAATTTTGTGAGTCTCTTCTGCATAAGCGGCCTTCCCCAGAAAAGTTTTAAACACAAAAGAAATGGCCCCCGAAAAAGTTAGTACTTGGTTTTTGTACCGTTTTTTTTGAAACTTGATTTTTCTCCAAAACTAAATCCTAGTATAAGTGTTATATCGAGAAACCCGATTTTGGAATTATTCTCTGCCTAAGCGGGCACGTCCTTCTTTGCAAAATATTATGGATTGCGAAAAGTCAAGTCTTTGAACGTTTGACTGTGTTTTATTATTTTTTTTACTTTTCTTAGAAACTACCCCTGAAATCTGAGATGAAGGGTTCAATCAAAAAAACCGCCTGCGATACTTGTTTCTGCAGAAGCGGCGACTTCTCTATTTTTTGTAAGAAAAACGTGATATCTTTGGGAAGATTCCAATATCTCAAAAATGTTCTGTCTTCTCAATTATTTTAGTAGAGAAACAACTAAGTCCAATTTTTGAAATTACGTGTTTTTTTTCCGCATCAATATAACCAATTTAAAAAAAAATCAAACAGCTACCTCTAGCCTTAACTGGGCCCTTACTTATCTTTTATCGAGATAAACGAATATTTTGGTTCACCTATTTTTTCCCATTTTTTTTCGACTTCTCATTTTTTATCTTGTGTTGTATCGCAAGTGGTGCGAAGCTCCACGTCGCCTCAATGTATAAAATTTGAATGTTGTGATTACGCATACGAAGTTTGTCTTAATTGCCAGCAAAGGCAATCATTTGACCATTTTCAGACAGTGTGAAATGGGTAGGAGTTTTGGAAGACTGGCTCACATGCGACACATAGTGTTCTACCAGCTGGCACCCACAGAGGTCAACTGGAAGAAGGGGCTGATCGGAAACGGGATTCAGAACACTGTCAGGCGCTGTCTGTACAAGGCAGATATTGTGCTGCCTCCTCTCTTGGCTTGCTACGCCATCTATGTCTGGGCCAATGCCGAACACGCCAGATTACAGAGAAAGAACCCGAAAGATTTCGAGCATGAGGAGTAGACATATAGAAACTGTTTTATTGGACGTGAAACAAAAGACAACTGAGAATTAATGATTAACTAAATGAACTACTGTTTACTAATAAACTGGTGCATCAGGTAGCTCTACAATCTTGTGAATATACTTTAGAAGAGATATTGTTTTTAACAAATCTAAACTTCTCAATACAAGAGGAAAGATACATAAACGGCAGTTTTAATGATTATTTCTGACAGCTGATGAATAGTTTGTAAGTTTCAGATGAATGGTTGTCGAAGTTTGTGCCTTTTTGTTAGCAAACCGGAACGATTGAAGCTTAGATCGTTGTCTCTAATGGTATCCGCACAACCCTCATGGAGTTCGAACAGGTCTATGAAAATCTACACAAAAACGGGCGATGCAGGAAAGACGTCTCTGTATTCAGGCGAACGTGTTCTCAAGACAGACAGGAGATTCGAGGCGTTGGGATCCATTGACGAACTCTCGAGCTGGATTGGCATGTGCAGAATACATGCTGCAGAATCACAATCATTGCGTAGTGAAATTTTTGTGCAGGTTTAAATGTATGATAATTATTGCTCGTGTTTTTCGTGCAACTATTTAAATTGAGATATAGTTGGGGGTTTAGGAAATTAGACGATAAGCAAATTAGGCGATCAGAAAGTAACGGAATTTAGACAATAACTTGCATGCAAACTGCGTGAAATTTGTTTAGACGAATTTTGTTTAGACTTCATATAACTTCTGATTGAGTAAATACTAGTTGTCCAACCACAAATCAGATTATTAAAGGGTAACTTCTCTAATTAAAAAAGTTTTGTTGGCCCAGTTCTTATCGAGTAAATTCACAAAGAGCTATCGTCTAAATTATGTTTTTTACTGTCGTTTAATTTGATTTTCTAATTTCCTAGGCCCCGTATAGTTGGTAGCTTACTTTTTGTTAATTGTGCAAATTTCCGACTTGCATACTTTAGAGTTTTGATTCGTTTGCATGCTAAGTTGGCATCAAAATACACCTCTGTGAGTAAAAAGGGGTTTCTAACACAAACAGTTGTAATGAAATTACTTTTTTTTGAAAAATTGCAAAATTTTGGCAACTTACTCAAATTTTGGATATAGTGCGAGAAAGTGATTGTTATCTATGTCGTTTCTAGGAATTACATTCAGTTCAATGTCGCTTGCAAGATATTGGATCCATTATAGCTACGTTGCCTCCTAAAAGTCCGAACGTGAAGATAGACACCACTGAAGTTGAAAATCTCGAGAGGTCAATTGACACTTTAACAGTCAAACTCCCGGAGTTAAAATCTTTTATTATCCCGGGTGGTGGAATTCCAAGCAGTAATATCCACGTTGCGAGGACCATTTGCAGACGCACAGAGCGAAGGTGTCTAGAGATTGAGCCTAAAATAGATGCAACAGTGCTGAAGTATTTGAATAGGCTGTCGGACTATTTGTTCACGGTAGCGAGGTACGCGTCCTTCAAATCGGGAATCGAAGATGACGTTTATCAGTCGTCAAGAGTGAAATAGATTCTGAAAAGTGATCTTTTTGACAGTTTGTTGCTAGTTTTGGAAACAAACTCGATCATTTCGAGCATCTTGTCATAAAAAATGTTTAGAAATGTATTTGAATTTAAATATTTATTTTACAAATAAATTATCCCTGTTTGTATTCTCTGAAGTCTTTATAAAACTAATGGTCAGTTTGCGTGCTAGTGGGGCAAATGTATTGAATGTGTATTTATGTTGAATATTTGGAAACTATTTTGAAAGGATGTGTGATTTTAGATTGAAATGTTGCAAAACATGGTGGCACGGAATCTCGTGCGGCTCTCCAGACTGCCCACCAGGGCCATGTCTTCAGAGTCCAGTCTGCCAGCATCTGCCAAAGTGTTCCTATCCAGGGTGCCTGGCAAAAAAGTAGTGACATACTCCAGGGCTGAACTACTAGAGGGCTGGAGCAATGACTGGCGACGAGCCACTCCTTTCCAGAATAAAATTGGGTACAATGTGGTTCTGGCGTTCTTCCTGGTACCCAATATAGTGTACCATATTGGATCCATGGGCATCTACATGCCCTACTTCCACAAGAAGCACGTCAACTGGGGACCTTGAACAAGTTTGGAAATATCTATGAAGCACTAACCGATACAGACTCACTGGACTAAACCAAAAAGGAAGAGGAAGTCAGTTAATAATCCGGAACTGAAAAACATGAATTAAGTGTAGATGATCATAACAGACTGGAGCAAACTATATTTTAATTCAAATTATTAACTGGCGTTTTCATTTGAGGAATTTAGTACATCACGAATCACGATTGAATAAAAGTCAATTTGATGCGGGGGGAGGGTCGTCCGTCCGCGTTAGTTATGCTGCCAGATATCATATTGACCAAATAATTCATACAATAACTTCCAAGTAGAACATAGCGACGCCGACACTCTGGATCAACAACCGAGCAGTACCCCCTCACACCAACTAAGTTCTACCTTGAGTTTTCCCCGCCGAGCCATGTGTTGATTCTGAAAATTAGCCATGTACAAAATATGCATTTCACTCAAAACGTTAATTTAAAAATGTTCCCATAGTTTTTTTTTTGGGGGGGGGGAGGGGGTTTTTGTACGGTACATATTCGGCACTCTTGGGGAAAAAGTTTGTTGTAAATGGAGTAGTTGAGGGTGGAGTTTTCTTTTCAACGAAATTATCCATTTTCGAAAGGGACAATAGCATATCAAAAGTAGAGGTCTAATTCAGATCTGAAAAAGGTCGTGAAATGGTTAAATAACCCCTGGATACAGTGCTGATTTAAATTATCCGG